TCGATACGGAATTGCTATACAGAGACGCGGCTATAGATGTGGTCGATATGGGGTTCAGTGAACTGAAAAAACTCAAAGACATTGTATTATCAAAGATCAATTCAAATCAAATTGATATGAAGAAGATCTTAGAGCCACCACTGCTCTCATTAGATAGGGACAGGCCTTTGAAACAAATGCTAAAACAAAGTAATGATGTCATTGAGAGTAAAGACAAACAAACTGATTGTCAATTAATTCAAACAAATAACTTAATTCATGACAAACAGGATAATATGAAATCAGTTTTGCAAACCATGGAAAGTGAACTCGAAATGAGTGATACAATCAGCAAATATAAGTGTGAATGTGATTCACCGCTACCCGACTCGCACCGCAATCAATGCGAACTACAGGTGCGAATCCAACGGTTCCTCGCAGATAACGCCGATTTGATGGAGTACTCTGTGAGTGATTTGCTGGACATCAGCCACCGTAACGCCATTTGGCCCCTATTTATGGACCTAATGATCAAATGCGGAGAATATGACAAATACTTAAAATATAGTCTTATGTTAAACGACGTAAAACTATTGGAAAACATTGAAAACTACTTATTCTCAGCAGAAAACTTCGAGCAACTATTGAAACACTTCGCGCGGCAAAGGGATCCGGGAAACGACCGCATCGTACGGTGCGTTCAGTGCGATCAACCCGTGCCGGATATCAACCAAAGTATTAGTTGGCAAACGATTATGAAATTCTGTATTAAGACGATTGGCGTCGAGGAGGCGGTCTCTCTATTACACAAATTCATTGATAGAAACCCATTGTTTTCCATTCATTTCTATTTATTACTGTTGAGAATGAGAATGATTTGTGTGAACCAGTCGTCGGTCACTCGCGATAAGCTCCACAATTTGATCACATATTACACAAATTCATTGATAGAAACCCATTGTTTTCCATTCATTTCTATTTATTACTGTTGAGAATGAGAATGATTTGTGTGAACCAGTCGTCGGTCACTCGCGATAAGCTCCACAATTTGATCACACATTTGAATAGCGTATCGAAAGTGAAATCATCGGACAGTCATACGAGTTTGTCGTCAATTAATAGCGAGAAACACAGACAATGTCACGGCTTTAAGATCAGTATCTCGAAGCAAAAGTGTGCCAAATGTGACACCAGTTTAATCAGAAAGTCATCGAAAGTTGGAGACAAAGGCAACGAAAAATTGGTGGCATTTCACTGCAAACATGTATTTCATAAGAATTGTCTCAATTCACGAAACAATTGCATTTTGTGTAACAAAGAATCGACTGTTAATCACTGAATTGTAATAATTATTACCAGTAATCTAATTACCGTATTTAATTAAGAAAACTTAACAGGGATATATAAACTAAATATACGAATTAAATAGAGTAATATCAAACTAGTCTTAATATATTAATTTTGATTTATTGTTATAATTAATTTGAAATAATTTTTTCAGTCAAGAATCGGTTCACAGAATGTAATTGTATTTTTAGTGGATTATCATATTTGACAAGAATTGAGTTAACAAAACATTAGTTGACAAATATTTAGTGAATTAATGTTTACGATCTTTACGACGGAGTAATACTGTATTTTTGTATCTTGTTAAACTTAGTTTCACATTGAATTTTGTGGATCTATTCAGTGACTCTATAATCGGTGCACTTATTTCTGGAGTAATACAGAGATCCAACTTGTGAATGTGTGGCAAATATGTGTCAATGGAGTCGAAGAATGTGGCGTTTAATACGAAACTATCAAAATATAGCGTCAAATGTGTCAACCGTTTCAAATGAGACAATGGTTTGAGTGACAAATGACCACAACTTTCATTGGAATGGATTCGTGTTTTAATATATATTTCTAACTCACGGACGCCTTTGAAATAAGTGATCGCTTCACATAATGGACTCAAATCTATAGCGTTTGGAATATCTATTATAAATTTAAATCTTTTTAAATGTTTGCATTGAATGCCTATTTGTTTGACACAATCAATGGATGTTTCGTGAATCGGTATTTCACTATAAAGCACATACAGAGCCAATCGTCTCAATGCATGTAATTGTAACAAACCATTCAATTGCTCCGTCGGTTCTTCGCAACTTACATCATAAGACTGGAGACTATGTCTGTAGTGATCGGCAAATGTGGTAAAGAGTGGCAAATCTTCTTCCATATAATCGCATTCAAATTGAGTCAAACTCTTAACAATCAGTTCATTGTCTTCATTGAATAGTATAGACAACGGGAACTCCGTTAAAGAAGTGTTAGAAAGATGTCGAAGTCTTGTGTATGACTTGTTGTGTAATTTTAACACATTTACAGCGGATTCTGGTAATGATATTGAAGTGAACAGTGAGCCATATTCGCCGAGAATTGTGTCCACTATTGAGACATCGATTTCATCACTGAATCGGACGTCAATTGCATTCAATGAATGACTCGTTAAACTCATGAGTACTATGAAGACTACTTCAGTCGCTTTAGAAGTGATTGTCATTTGAATGGATGTAATGTTTGCACATTTGTTGGTCACTGACATCAATGCCTTCATATTGATGTCTCGCATCTTAGAGTTGTCTATTACTCCCCACTTCCTCAGCAGTTTATTGTCGACCACAAGAGTGTGTCGTTTCGCAAACACCGATCGCTTCCACTGTTTGGACAGACATTCAAATCGGAAACAGTCGTCGAGTGACAGGTGAGACAATATCACTTCGCATAAGTCGTCGCCATATCTGTCGAAAGAGTCCTTCCGATAGCATTCCTCTTCAGTGGACTTCATATCATTTGATGACACCTTTGGCTATAAATACATGAAATGAATACAAAATAATGCAATGAATGAGTGATTGACACAAAAGTCATATCAATTACAAACCCTTTTAACCAATTGTTGGCATTCATTGTCTTCCTCTTCAGCCATCACTTCATTCAATCGTTTCGTGAATTCAATGCAAAACTCAAACCAAAAGTGAATTAAATATTGAAAACAAAAATCAAATCAATTTTGAAAACAGTTTTCAATTTTAAAAAATGCACTCAATTTGTGGGCAATGGACTCAACACTAATAACGTAATAATTATGACTTTCATTACAAACTTGAAAATATAAACTTTTTATTCAAACATTATTTCACTATTAAAATTAAATTATAATTCATGAGAGAACGTATGTGTCAATGGATTTAATATAATTAAAATGACATTAAATTTTTGTAAAAATTAATTTTCGTGTGAATATGTAATCATTAAAAAGTATAACTTAGAAAATAAATGAGAGACAAAACTAAACTCGATTACAAAAATTTCAAAATATAATTACACAAAACGTATCGCACTTTTATACATAAGCGCTACGATCGAGTGGCCGTACAGCTCGACGGGAAAGGGGGGATCTGGGGTTCGTAACATAACTCGGAAGTCGGGTGTGAATTGATTAGAGAATCGCAATGAATTGCTAATGAAATGAAGTGATGAGAGGGTCGGGTGGGTGTGTGCGGATCAGTTCAGTTTGAACACTTGCTGCCCACCCATGGCGTAAATGACATTATGCTGGGCGTCAGTGTCGGTGAGTATTGTGGTGTTGAGGGATTGGGTGCCGAAGGACTCGTCGCTCAGCTCATCCATCGTATTGCCCTCCGCTAACTGTTGGCTCCCTTTCTCGCCCTTCATTGCCTGCTATTTATACGAAACAGTCGATCATCGGTTAATACAACACATAAACGAATCGTACAATTAATTACAAAATAATGGCAATTGTGTGCAAATGGATTAAAATTTTCACTTTCTTTAAATATCTATCATTTGATTATGTATTCAATTAAATGTACCATTAATTTGAAATGTCGTCACAATTGACAAAACATATGAAACTTATGTCAAAATATTAACTTTTAATATTTGTATTTATTATTTGCATTAAACACAAATCTATTTAC